ACGGAGCCGCCGCCAAGCCCTATTCTTCCTCGGAAGGGCAGATCTGGAGTCCGTTTGGGGCTCCAGAGAGGGGGATCTTCGTTCTTCGTCATCACCAACCCTTCTCCATCGCCAATTCCATGATGCTCCCCACCGGGAGTGAGTAATTCCTTCGTAGGCTCGTTGGTCGCTGAGGAGTTGGATGAGATTCATCATGTAATCGAGTTAGTTTTGTTAGGGCCTGATCCTTAGTATCTACTATGTTCTTAGATTGATGTTGCTATGACTTTGATATGCTTAATGCTTGTCACTTTGGGCCCGGGTGCCATGATTTCAGATCTGAACCGTTTATGAATTCATCATTATATCCATGTTTTAGATCCGATCTTGCAAGTTATAGTCACCTACTACGGTTATGATCCGGCAACCCCGGAGTGACAACAACCGGGCCCACTCCCGGTGATGACCGTAGTTTGAGGAGTTCATGTATTCACTATGTGTTAATGCTTTGTTTCGATTCTTTATTAGAAGGAGGCCTTAATATTCCTTAGTTTCTAATATGGACCCCGCTGCCACGGGAGGGTAGGACAAAAGATGTCATGCAAGTTCTTTTAATAAAGCATGTATGACTATTTACGGAATACATGCCTACATTATATTAATGAACTGGAGCTAGAGTCGTATCGCCCAAGGTTATAAATGTCTCATGATGAATATCATCCAACAAGTCATCGATCCAATGCCTACGAATTTATCCTTATTGATCTTGCTGCATTACTATTGCTATCATCACTGTTACACTGCTACAAATTACTGCTATCACTGTTACTGCTACCGTTACTGTTGTCACTACTATCAAAACTATCAAACTACTTTGCTACTGATCACTTTGCTGCAGATAATTAATCTCCAGGTGTGGTTGAATTGACAACTCAGCTGCTAATACCTCCAAATATTCTTTGGCTCCCCTTGTGTCGAATCTATAAATTTGGGTTGAATACTCTACCCTTGAAAACTGTTGCGATCCCCTATACTTGTGGGTTATCAACGTCGTAGCCGGTGCCAGAGGGGATACGACCCCAGCGACGGATATGGACCACGACAGCTTCCGTCGGGTGCTCCAGAGCGGCCAGTAGCCGGCCACCAACCACCCATGCTGCATCGAGGTGATCATCGCGGCCTCTTTGCCACCACGACCGCAAGATGGCGGATTCAGACATATTGATGTATTGCTTTATAAGGTCTTTGTGAATAATTAATAAAGTGGTTGTATGCATCTCCAAGATGAAGAGGCCAGTTTCATCCTCTCTTTTTTAAATGCTATCCTCATGATATGTTGATGGTTACTATCAGGTTTATCTGAAACAAATGTTTATTCTGCTATGCACCATCTAAAGTGTTTGTTGTATGCTTTGTTGCTGCAATCGGTGAAACTCAGTTGGTTGTGGGTTTGTGGCGGGCTCATGTGGGCAGGCCGGGAGTTGTTGGCACCCGCTTAGGTGTTTGGCATGCAGCCGCATCACGCCTGGCTTGCATCCTGACTTCTAGGAAATGTTTAGTCAATGGTACGTCTCCAACATATCTATAATTTATGAAGTATTCATGTTGTTATATTATCATTCTTGGATGTTTTACAATCATTTTATAGCAACTTTATATCATTTTTTAGGACTAACCTATTGAAATAGTGCCAAGTGCCAATTGTTGTTTTTTGCATGTTTTTTACATCGCGGAAAATCAATATCAAATGGGGTCCAAACACCGTGGAAGTTTTTGGAGAATTTTTATGGACCAGAACACCCAGGATGGGCCAAAACAGCACCTGGGGGTGCCCCGAGGGGGCACAACCCACCAGGGCGTGCCTGGGGGCCCAGGCGCGCCCAGGTGGGTTGTGCCGACCTCGGTGGCCTCCCGCACCCCCTCTTTACTCTATAAATTCACAAATATTCCGAAAACCCTCGGGGTTAACCTAGATCAGAAGTTCCGCCGCTGCAAGGCTCTATAGCCACCGAAAACCAATCTAGACCCTTTCCGGCACCCTGCCATTGGGGGGAATCATCTCCGGTGGCTATCTTCGTCATCCCAGCGGCCACCATGATGAGGAGGGAGTAGTCCACCCTCGGGGCTGAGGGTTTGTATCAGTAGCTATGTGTTTAATCTCTCTCTCTCTCTCTCTCTCTCTCTCTCTCTCTCGTGTTCTTGAGATGTCACGATCTTGATGTATCGCAGGCTTTATTAATATAGTCCGATCATGTGGTGTTTTCCCCTCTCTATCTTGTTGTGGTGAATTGAGTTTTTCCCTTTGAGATTTCATTGTTATCGGATTGAATACTTTTATGGATTTGAGAACACTTGATATATGTCTTGCAATTAAATACTCGTGGTGACAATGGGGTATCGTATTGATTCACTTTATATATGTTTTGGCACTCAACTCGCGGATTCCCGAGGTGACATTAGGGTAAGCTATGCATAGGGGTTGATGCACATTCTTGTCTTTGTTTCTCCGGTAGAAATCTTGGGGCACTCTTTGAAGTTCTTTGTGTTGGACTGAATATTATGAATATGAATTTGCTTTGGTGTTATTTTAGTACGAACTCTTGGTTAGATCGATCGGAAAGAATAGCTTCGTGTTATTTTAGTACGATCTCTAGGATAGATTGATCGGAAAGAATAGCTTTGAGGTGTTTCGTACCCTACAAACAATTCCGTCTAATGTTCTCCGCTAGATAGGAACTATGGAGTGATTCTTTATCGCACTTTGAGGGGTGGTTATATGATCCAATTATATTAGCACTATTGAGAGATTGCACTAGCGAAAGTACGGATCCTAGGCCTCATTTTCAAGCATTGCAATACCGTTTTTGTGCACATTTACTATTTGTTATCTTGCTGTTTTTATTTATTCAGATTCTAAAAATATATTTCTACCTTCCATACTACACTTTTATCACCATCTCTTCGCCGAACTAGTGCACCTATACAATTTTCCATTGTATTATGTGTGTTGAGGATACAAGAGATTTCATGTATTTGATTGCAGGGTTGTTTGAGAGAGACCATCTTCATCCTACGCCTCCCAAGGATTGGTAAACCTTAGATGATCCACTTGATGGAAAATTGCTACTGTCCTACAAAACTCTGCGCTTGGAGGCCCAACACGTGTCTACAAGAATAAAATTGCATAGTAGACATCAGTATAGTATGGATTTGTCTGACAAGGCCCCACCTGACTTCTAGGAAATGTTCAGTCAATGGCATAGTAGTGTTCCATTGTTTTTGTCAAAGGGATTATAAACTTCGTGTGTACCTTACAATGTTCGTTCTCGTACGGTAGCTAGGTTCATGAATTATGAACGTGGGCAAATGTCAAGCTTATTCAAGACTGCACCCATACCTCCGTCTGACTAGTTTGCACAACAAAACCTCAAAACAAAAACGACCAGAAAAACTAAAATAGAAGTTCAGATAAAATACTAAAAACTATACATGAACCATGATTTAAGCCATGACCGAGTAAGGTTTAGATGAGAAGTCTGGGTATTCGGCTCACACTTTCTGCACTCCTTCATCAATGGATAGGAGTAGCGACAGATATTGCCAAGATGGCGAATTTAGACATATTTCTGTATTGCTTTATAAGGTCTTTGTGAATAATTAATAAAGTGGTTGCATGCATCTCCAAGATGAAGAGGCCAAGAGTCATCCTCCTTTTTTTGAAAAATGCTATCCTCATGTTATGTTGATGTTTACTATCAGGTTTATCTGAAACAAATGTATATTCTGCTATGCACCATCTAAAGTGTTGTTTGTCGTATGCTTTGTTGCTGCAATCGGTGAAACTCAGTTGGTTGTGGGTTTGTGGCGGGCTCATGTGGGCAGGCCGGGAGTTGCTGGCACCAGCTTAGGTGTTTGGTGTGCAGCCGCATCACACCTAGCCTGCATCCTGACTTCTAGGAAATGTTTAGTCAATGGAATAGTATGGATTTGTCTGACAAGGCCCCACCTGACTTCTAGGAAATGTTCAGTCAATGGCATAGTAGTGTTCCATTCTTTTTGTCAAAGGGATTGTAAACTTCGTGTGTACCTTACAATGTTAGAGTCAAGTCACGTTCTCGTACGGTAGCTAGGTTCATGAATTATGAACGTGGGGAAATGTCAAGCTTATTCAAGACTGCACCCATACCTCCGTCTGACTAATTTGCACCAACAAAACCTCAAAACAAAAACGACCAGAAAAACTAAAATAGAAGTTCAGATGAAATAATAAAAACTATACATGAACCATGATTTAAGCCACGACCGAGTAATCGCACCCCTTCATGTTTCTGTATTTATGTTTGCATTATGTAAAATTTCTAAATAAAGAACTAGCTTATCTGTTTTTTGCATCCCTAAAGCATACACAATGAATTCTCAAAAACTCAGCATAAAGAAATTTCACCTTTTTTCAGAGTCGCATAAACAATTCTTGAACCAATCACCATAGTGTGGCGTGCCGCCGCGCACTACCTGCTAGTGATGTACAATGGGTTATCTCTTATTATTATCTACAATATACAAGATATATACCTAAAAATATGATGAGAGATATTGTTACTAAGAGATCATTTCTTAACATGTATTCTGCCTAGTCCTTTTCATGGCTCCATGCTTCAAATCAAGTGCAAATGTCCATGCTACACTTCGTGTCAACTAAACTTCTAGTTCAATTTGGTCGATTGGATCGAAAGGAAGCAGAATCAAATGGCAGTTAACCTTTTGTGGGCCGATGTTTGAATGCATGAGGCCATGAAAATAGGATCATGGAACCACACAACATGCAAACGGAACTCATCAACTGACAAACATTGAAGTATTTCCAAATAATATAATATCACAGACAATATACCTAGAAATCATTTCTGGACTCCTTGTGAACATAAGAACATCAGTTAAGCTCACAACACCATCTCATATATACAACTCTAACTGCTAGGATGAAGGTGCATTATTTCTTCTTCGGGCCATGAGGTAAAGATCTAGCCATCATTGGATGAACCGACGATGGTGAGATCTGCCTTCACAACGCAGCTCGATCCCACAACATACCCTCCAGACGGGTCCTTGAGTTCCTTGAGTCCAAAGAAGTCAGACGATCCCATTCCCTGTACACATACTAATTTATGTCCTTGTCCACATACCCAGAGACCTGCGATTCACCACAAAAGTAAAGATCAATTGTAATCATCATGAGGTTACATATACTAGCTGCTTGAATCGCACATATCAGCTGCACTGATACTTGCTAAGGAGAGCTGAACCTGAAGTTGCAGTCCGGTGTTTCACATTCTTTTGGTCCAGGATGGATAGTGTCAATTCAACCACCTTGGCAGACTCCAAAGGGAGCTCAACCGAGTCATCCAGGGATAAGTACAAGCTGAGGCAATCATTACTGTGCTTGTCACCACGTGGATACATACGGATGTACCTGTTGACAAGAATGGGAAGTGACTCTTCAAATATACTAATTGGGTACCCGGGAAAGTGGTTGGTTACTGAAAGCAGAAACTTTGACCACAACTTGGTGGCATTACAATTGTACACACAAAAAAAACAAAGCAAAGCATGACTACAGTACAATAACAATTCGAGAAAATAATTGATATGGTATGTGACACTACTATGATAATGAAATTTCTGGATTTTTTTTCCTCCTAAACAACATACAGCCATGAAATTTTATACGCCAACATAGATTTTAGTACTAAATTGTTTCTAATTCGTTCCTGAATTTTCTGTACGCCATGCAAAAATCCTTCTGTATTGAAAGATTGAAACTGGGATGTGCTACCATGTCTGTAAATATCTTGGTTGCACGCTTAGAGATCAAGCTAAAATATCCGGTTGGAATATCTGAAGAACTGATAAGCTAAAGGATACATATAAGCTAAAATGTTGGATAACACATGCATGCTATTTATATAAATCATCTGTGATGTAACTACCCAGATGTATACCATTTAAGTCCGCCAACTTCAAATGTAGGAGAGCGGACGGAGTGCTTCAGGTCCAATTCAAGGAAATTATCCATGGTCCAAGTGTATGTCCCTTTAATGAACCCTTTCTTCTGGATAAAGAGATTCTGAACTGTGGTAGCCTTCTTCTGAACCACAACATCCTTCTTTTCAGGAGAAGAGACATCGATTTTTAATATCTCCACACCAAAGACACAGCTATCATCAACTAGAAAAGCAGATGATTTCAGTAGCTCCTGAAGAGGAATCAAGCAATGCGGCTTCGAGTAGGTATTCTTGACATCAAAGTTGTAGCTAGCTGTATTTAGGTAAAGGTTAGAACTTATAGAAGATTAGAAAACGAAGAAGTTGTAGCTAGCAGTGTTTAGGTAAAAGTTAGAAAATTAGAGAAACAAGAACTTGTATGTAAGATGAAAATATCCCAAATAACATATAATCAACTTTTCCGCGAAATAAAACATTTAATCAGCTTTCCCCCTGGTTAGCATTTAAGGAGAGGTCATCAAAGTAAAAGAGAACATGCATGTGTACTTTGGAACGTTGTTCCAATCAGAAGAATAATCTCAAGTGTGTGACGCACAGTACAGAAGGTCGACGGACAAACTTAACAGCAAAGAAAATATGAAGCGACTTGCTAATGGAAAAAGCAATTGATTATGTTACAGAACTTGTAGGTATTGATTTGTAATGATGGAATCTATAGCTCAAACTTGTGATGCACACAAGACTGTGTATGGACTCCCAGCTAATAGGATGGATGCACTCTTTTTTGCGGGGAAATTGGATGGATGTACTTGAAGAAACACATTCACGAGTCTATATACCTTTGCATCCACAATACTCTCCTTTTGAATGGTTGAATATTGACAACTCGAATACTGCATGCACTGTGTGAACTTGCTCCAACCATGCGTGGTATATCTCGAGAGAAAGAGCCACATATGGATTTCCCATAACACCTTGTTTGTGCTTTGGAGTCACTCGCAGGAACCTGGGATGGGAATTGAAGGAAACCAAGTAAGTCTATACAAGTCATAACTGAATCAAGCTTAATATCTTCACTTGATAAATCCTATATATATCCAGCTTCATCGTCTGGCTGTTTATATGGGGTTGTGAGATTGTGGTTGCTATTTCAACCTGACTGAAACATGATTTCTGAATAATCAACACCCCGAAATATTAGGTATTTAGTTAACAGACAGTTACTTTCTCCACTAGGAAAACCCAGATGATATTTATACATCTAATACGTTAATTCTGTGTTGCTATTGCGAGTATGATGCATACGTACCACCTGTACCCAGAGCATTCAAAAGCAGAGGAGACTGCCGATGCAGCGTTCGTCTCAAGTAGCGCTGAGAAGTCATGAACCTTCCATCTTAAATGTGGAACATGGGTCTCTCCTAAACTTGCAGGAGCTGAAATTTTCACCAAAGGAGGCAACAACTCAAAATTATATTTCCTTGGGAAAATGTAAGGGTACAGAATAATTGTCTATGTTAAGATTATATGAATGAGAATCTTGCATACAGTGTTTTGTTAGAAGTGGCCACTAATATATTGCAGTAGTTACCACTTCACCAGTCACTAGTCAGGGTACACAAACGACAGAACATGCGTTTTTTCCCTTGTTTTTTTTTAATACAGGAGGCCACTTTTGCATGTATAGATAGTACTATCTACTATTGGCTCTAATGAATAAGCATTGCGACCAACAATGTGATGCATTCACAGGGATTCAGTTCATCAACGTGATGGTGACGAGGGCAAGAGCTTCCTCAATTTAAAGCTATTTGAAGTACATATAGTCTGAAGTTTGAATTGTGCAGAGAAAGATACCTGTGCTCCCGGCGTTGCCCATATTGGTCTGCCCCTTCCTCTTGTCTCCTACTGTATTGGTCTGCAAGTGAAATTAATCATGGCGCCTTAGCAAAAAGGGCATAATGGACAAGATATCTAATTAATCTAGATCAACACAGTTACTGCCAGGCAGGTATACAAAAACCATGCGTATGTGTTTGGACTACCGTATGTATTGCCACAATGCGGAGGTACAAAACAATTTTGACGGTTCGCGAGAATGTTAAACCCTAATCAGATCGGAGAGATCAAAAGGTCTAAGGGGGGAACACGCCACAGGTTGGGAGACTAGAAAGAAGGGGCCCGAATCTTGTTTCTCAAACGATGACGAAGAAATACTGAAAGCCGTCGAAACCTAGAAGGCGAAAGCAAAAGTCAGAGAGAGAACAAATACCTGGATTTGGCGCAGGTTGCACAATGGCTGACTTCCTGGGACGGCGTTTGTTGGAGCTGCGAGAGGGGTTATGCTTTTATGGACTAGTATACCGCTAACAGACAACTACAGCAAACTCCAATACGACTACACTACGTACAGAGGGAGGACTTTGACTAACTAATCAACCTAAGCCTAATTAGTAATTACTCTAGGACGCGCGGGCCGAGTTTGAGGAACTGAACCATGACTCTCTCTCTCTCTTCTTCTTCTTCTTCTTCTTCTTCTTCTTCTTCTTCTTATGAAACCATGACTTGTTCCTTGAAGTTATGGCATTGGTGGACAGTGACATGAGAAAGGCTCAATTGGGCAAGAAGAAGGAGCTGATTGCTGAGATTGTGCTAGTTGGTGGAAGCACCATGCATGATCCCCAAGATTCGGAGCACACACGCACATCTGCCATGCACAGTCTTATTTTTGCAGATCGTCTTTTCTTGTGTTTTTTTCGTTTCTTCTCCAGTTTTTTCACATATTTTTCCCTGGTGTTTTTTTATCATTTTTTGCTTTATATTTTTAAAAGTTTTCATTGTTTTAAAAGTGTTGTAGCACTGTAAAAATATTGTCAAATATGTATAGAAAAATGATTCTGATTTATACAAAAATGTGTAACATGCATGTAGAAAAAAATAGATGTCAAAAACATCTATTTCAAAAAAAGTTAATCATGTATCTAATGCTATATGTGTATAATTAAGTGTTCCTAATGTGTACAAAATGTACAACGTGTATGAAAAAAGTAGACATCACAACATATATTTGAAAAAAATGTTAATCATGTATTTGAAAAGTGTTAAATGTGTATCAAAAATCATTTCATATGTATATTAAAAGTATACAACGGGACGGAGTAGAAGAAGGGCGGAGATTCTCGACGAATATGGGAGCCTAGAAAACGAATATGGAAACCCAGAGAACGAATATAGGACTTTAAAGAAAGACTTAGAAGAGGAATATCGGAAATAAGCAGACATCAAAACATGTATATTTAAAAAAATATTAATGGTGTATTTGAAAAATATTAAACATGTATACAAATAATATTTCAGATGCATACAAAAAATGTACAATATGTATGAAAAATAGACATCAAAACATGTATTTGGAAAAAAAAGTTAACCATGTATTTGTAAAAATGTTAAACTTGTATAAATAATATTGGTGATGTATACTAAAAATGTACATTGTGTGTGAAAAAAAGTAGATGTGTGTTAGAAAATGAAAAAGGAAAAAGAAAAACAGAGAAAATAAAATAAACCGAAAAGAAATATAAAAACTGAAAGAAAGCCAAAGAAAAAAAGAAATGAAAAGGAAACCAGAGAAAACCCACGTAAACCGCTGCAAACAGCGAAAACAGATAAGCAAAACCGTAGGGAAAATACTCTCGCGTTGTAGCTACAGTAATGAGCTGGCCTGATTCAAAGGCTCCCAGCTTCCCACATCCGCTTTCTTCATTCCGCCCAGCCGCTTCCACTCCCATGGGCTAAAAAAAGCCCGCTTTCCCACAGACACCGTCACCATTGTTGCTTCCTTCGTTCTGCCCGGCCGCTTCCACACCCACGCGCTAAAAAAAGCCCGCTCTCTCACAGACGCCGCCGCCGCCACGAAAAATAAAAGGGACGTCCGCTTCATTTTTCTTGTGGGAAGTGTTTGCTTCTGCTCTTTCTTTTACCTAAAAGAAAAAGGCGCTTCTGCTCCGCCGCTGCCACTTCGTGTCGACAGACAGGCGTCCATTTTTCCTGTTTTATTGGGGGAGCGTTTGCTTTGGGAAAAAAAGTAGGATGTCCATCCATCGCCGCCCAACAAGCGAAGGCCATCCGCCATTGCTCATTAGCGCCTTCGCACGTCTGGCCCCCTCGTCTCATGGGCTAGCACGCTCGCATCCCCTCTCCCCTATTGCTTCTATGTCCTTCCTCTTCCCGCCACCTGAGCTAACCGCCGCCTCCATCCTACAAAAACCGACCTCCTCTCGCGGCTCCCCGCCAAGTCCATCCACCGAGTGCGCCTCCAAGCCACCTCATCTCCCACCGTAACCACCGCAAAAGCTAGCTGATTATGTATAGTTAGATTGCTTTTTTGATGCAAGTAATTGTCTATCTATTTATCACTGATCCTATCAAAATGTGTGTGCTTGCAGGCTGAACTAGAATTCGGGCCGCCGATGTCAGAGGTGGTGGAGGCGTTAATCCGGCTTGTGCACAAGGCCAACATGACCAAGTGGATGCTTGACAGAGACAACTCCCTGCAAGGCGACGACCAAGACCAGGATTTCATATGATGCTATCGAGGGAACCCTTGCATTGCATTTGAGATTGTATTAATTTTTACATATTTCCTGTAGCACATAGTCTGAGAGAAAAGTGGAAGAACAAAATAGAGATAGTGTCTGGTTCCATCTGTACATATGACATAGGTTTTTGCTTGATATACCCAAGTAAAGGTGTTGTTTGTGGGTGTTGCTTGAAGAACACGTCGCTTGCCCCGAGCTTTGTCGTGCAGTTGTATTACACAAACACCCATAAGCTAACTACTTCCTCCGTCTCATAATATAAGAGCGTTTTTTACACTAGATAACTAAAGCACATGCCTGAGATGACGATATTTGTCAAGAAGAACAAGAAATCAGTTTAAAATTTATATCTACTATTAAAGGGAATAGATATTCTTAATTTGGTTTAGTCCTTTATATTTAGTTTACACACGTTAAGCGATCTGGGCCAGCTACTTGTATGTTGATGGGCCTTTTATGGGCTTTCATAGAGAGACCGCGAAAAATAATTGGGTCAAAATAAATCAACATTGTGGGAATTGAACACAAGACCTTCTGTCTATCTCTTAGATGTAACAACCAAAGACTTATGCACATTCCATATTTACTAATCCCAACTCACTCTAAATATACGAGTGGCAGTCATCATGTTTATTTATTTATTTTTGTGAGAAAATGAGTTGATATTAAAACGGCCAAATTACTGAAAGGCCCACACAGAAAAGGAAATTACAACCAAGCCCCTCTGCAACCCGACTACGCCGGCGCCGTGGACGAGCCGGTGACGCACCGTTCGCCGCTCGCTGACGCCTTGGATCGAAGCAGCCCCTGGGCAAAACGGAAAGTCTCTGATCAACGGTCCCTGAGGGTCTACACCCATGGCCTTCGTCGTCGTCGCACTGCTCAACATCGCCTTCCTTCTCCAGATCTTCAACCGCCGGAACCGCCATCCCTCGATCTCCGGCAGGGGGAACCGTGCACGGCCTCTCCACCGAGCAGCGAGCACGAAGAAAGGAGCTGGTCCACGGCGGAGCTCCACCGGAACTTTGCCGTCGAAGGGGAGACCAACACCTGCAAAAAGCTGATCCAGTCACACCGCCACCTCCACGACGCCACCGGCTGGCTCCCTAGGCTATGTACACACTGCAAATCGGGCCTCCCCCGTCCTCCCGTCGCCGGAGCGTCCGGCGGAGGGCGAGGGAGCCGCCGATTCGGCAACGGCGAGGTGGAGAGCCCGGGGTTCGCACAAATCGCCCTTCGTTCCTGTAGATGGGGAAGGGTGAGGTCCAAGGCTCATGTTTAGGGAGAGATAATTAAGCGAATGAGCTAATAAAGAAAGGATTGTGGGCTTAAATATAATATTTAAATGAATGTGGCTAATTAAAGAAAGGATTATGGGTAAATCGGTGGAATCTCTACTCCTAATGGACGAATTGGTTGAATAGTCCTCCCCACTTTCAACCGGTTTATTTTCAACCGGTTTTTCTTCGTCCCACCTCCCACCAGCCCCTCCCATCGGTTTTTCTCTTTTCTCGTCTGACCGGCAATACCCAACGTATTTATGGTAATCAATTATAATTAATCCACGTATAGTAATAAATCAACCCAGGTATGGTAAGGTCATAACTCAGGAAATTTTGAATATGGTAATTATATGGTAATAAATTTAAATTACCCCAAAGGCTATCAATCCAGGTATGGTAAGGCCATAACTCGGGAAATATTGAATATGGTAATAAATTTAAATTACCACCAGGTATGGTAAGGCTATCCACGTATGGTAATAAATCATAATTAATCCACGTATAGTAATAAATCAATCCAGGTATGGTAAGGTCATAACTCAGGAAATTTTGAATATGGTAATTATATGGTAATAAATTTAAATTACCCCAAAGGCTATCAATCCAGGTATGGTAAGGCCATAACTCGGGAAATATCGAATATGGTAATAAATTTAAATTACCACCAGGTATGGTAAGGCTATCGATCCAGGTATGGCACGCCCTCACCTGATCACCTATCACAATCTCCAGCCCCACGCACGCACCAAAGAACCCACCCGGCACCAAACGCAGCTCCTCTCGATCCCCTCGAGTAAACGCCGTTGCCGTCGTGCGATCTTCCTGACACAGACGCCGTCGCCGCCTCCTTCCCACCTACGGCGTCCCCCACGTCCATGGTGACGGTGCTCGTGTCCTACACTGACCCTCCGCCTCATATAGGTTGGTCGTTGATGGAGTGGGATGTGCCGCTGCGGTTTGGGGAGGCGCAATCACGATCTGGTTGGGATCTCAGTGTG